GCGACCAGTGGGAAGAATGAGTCTGGAGCCCTGTATTGCCCAGCTCCCCCTGTCAATGATCTAGCACCCCCTCAGCACCTGCATTCAAAATTCTCTGGCGCCGCCCCTGCACCTACCTCAGTAAGGTCAATAGGGACAGCAGAAAATAGCTCAAGTTCTCTTCAAGGAAATCTTCGGTTCACTCTGGGTTTTAAAATGTTCGGTCTAAATCAAGTTCGTCCCCAGAGCATATAAAAGTACTCTGTCTGCTTCTAAGGCTACCAAGTTGGCCTTTTGCATATCAGGTGGTGACCTGAGAGTTGATGAAACATTTTAGGTGGCATGTTGTGGCGCACCTAAGTAAAATCTGGTCTTGAGTTCATGCATTATGCAGAAGGTGGAATCACAGATGGGCTATGGCTGAGCAGAGAAAGCTTTTATCCACAGGAGCTGCTGTAGTTCAGAACCATTACGCTTTAATGTGGTGCTCTTCAAATACGCTTAACCTGCCTGTGTGGCCACGGTGCAGGTTCAGAGCAGGAAGTGAAAGAGTGAATGAGCAGAAAGAGAATGAAGGAATGTCTGGTTTAGGAATGTCCCAGTCATGCCATATAAGTTGATTTCATTGAGAATAATTCTCATGAATCCATTCAAAGCTTTAGGAACAGACTGACAATTATATTGTCAGCATATCTTTGCAAGAGTGAGTTATAGATTATGCAGTTGCATAACTTTGCCCCACTGGCACTTGGCAGCGTTACTGAAGTTGTCAAGACTCTGAAGTATTCGAGAAATATTGAAACCGGATAATTCAGACAGACAAGACAATGCATGATCAAGGGAAGAGTTCTAATGCTTTCTTGGTATAAACTATGTCTCAGTGAAAGTGTGTGCTGGTGAATGATTTTATTTTCATTAATAGACGTCCAGACAAGACTGTCCTTCCAAATCATCTTTAAAAGTCTGGTTGAGGCCAGTCCTCCAAGCGGACGTTGTTGTTCTTGTCGTGCTTTTCTTTGCCAGACAGCTGTTCCCTGTAGGCGCTGAGGAATTGCATCCCGTTGCAAAATAAATGACCCAGCGACAGGCAAATCGAATGAACTAGAGGCACCCAATGTATTAAGCTTCCAAAGTAACGGATCCTTCTTCATCAGTGTCAGACCCAAACATCAACTGTGCACAGAGTGAGAGAGCAGGCGGGAGATGTAATAACGTGTTTGTGTCTGTGTGTATATCTATGGAAAATTCCGTAAGTGATCCACCTCCCTATTTGATCTGTCCTCTCTCCAGGTGCGTTTAGAGTGGCCTACAGACCTGGCCATCAACCCTATGGACAACTCCATCTATGTGCTTGACAACAACGTTGTACTACAGATAACCGAGAACAGGCAGGTGCGCATTGTGGCAGGCAGACCTATGCATTGCCAGGTGCCAGGCATCGAGTATACCATGGGAAAGCGTGCCATCCAGACCACTCTAGAAGGTGCAACAGCCATCGCTCTCTCCTACAGCGGTGTGCTCTATATTGCCGAGACGGATGAAAAGAAGATTAACCGCATCAGACAAGTCAGCACGGATGGCGAGATTTCTCACTTGGCAGGAGCACCCTCTGACTGCGACTGCAAGAATGACGCTAACTGTGACTGTTACCAGACAGGCGATGGGTATGCCAAAGACGCAAGGCTAAATACTCCTTCCTCTCTGGTGGTCTCTCCTAATGGAACGCTCTATGTAGCTGACCTGGGAAACATTAGAATCCGTGCCATACGTCACAATCGACCTCCACAAGGCTCTTCGGGTCTTTATGAAGTTGCATCACCTGCTTCTCAAGAACTCTATGTGTTTGACTTCAATGGAACGCATCAATATACTATGAGCTTGGTCACTGGTGACTACAAATACAACTTCAGCTATAGCAATGAAGATGATATCACTGCTGTAACAGATAGCAGTGGAAATACGCTCCGGGTTCGTCGTGACCCCAATCGAATGCCAGTGCGTATTGTTGCCCCTGACAACCAGGTTATTTGGCTGACAATTGGTACAAATGGAGGGCTTAAGACTCTCACAGCACAGGGGCAGGAGTTGGTGCTCTTCACCTACCATGGTAACAGCGGCCTGCTAGCCACCAAGAGCATCCAAATTGGCTGGACCACATTTTATGAGTGAGTGCTTCTATCAATTCCTTTACACTGTAGCAGAGCACATCTCTAAACCTTTTTATTTAAAAATTTTTTTTAAAGTTTCTAAGATTTTTAAAGCAGTTTTGACATTTTGAATAGATTGTTGCAGTTGTTGTTGCAGTGCAGGTTCCTGCTGTATGCTTCTCTAAATCTTCTCCTTCAGCAAAAGTGTAGCCTTTAGTTACAAAACCTAACATTTTTTTCACCACATGCTATTTAGAGCATAGTGAAAATGCTAAATGAATTTGTATGACATTTTCAGGCTGGTGGTCTACCAAAAGGTTTTGCATAATGCCAGTCTGGGGTAGGCCAAAATGTTGGACACAGTGTCTGTGCACCTACCCTGCCATAACCACAAAGACACTGCAGGCATTGACAGGTCTTAACGATTGTGACTTCAATGAATCAAGTTTTTATTATGTTATAATGTGGGTAAGGATTAATCCCCATTTTATATAGAAATGTCCTCAGGCCAGTTGTGAGTGTGCAAGGCAACTCAAACTAGCCAGCATTTGTTAAAAAGTAAACCTATATTTAAGTTTTTCTACACTTTCTACATTTCTTGACTCGTGTACACAAATCAAATTGTCCATTTGTCCAATTGTCCACATACAAAGGTTTCCGAGGACCCAAACAAGACTGACTCCAAACCATACATGCACGCTAGTCTGCTTAATGTCATTGCATCATGTGAACTGCTCACCGCACGTCAATTGCAAAAGGTGTTCTAATGGCATTCTTGGTTTGCAGCTATGACAGCGAGGGACGTCTGACAAATGTGACATTCCCCACTGGGGTTATCACCAGTCTAATTGGGGAGATGGACAGAGCCCTAACAGTGGACATTGAGACCTCAGGACGAGATGACGATGTCAGCATCACCACCAACCTCTCTTCCATTGATTCTTTTTACACATTAGTTCAAGGTGCGGCAAGTCTCTGCTGTATTATCATTATTAACAATGACCACTGATGGCTCTATAAACTGACCTGTTGCTTTAAGTCTTGGAAATGTTCCACACTGCTAATCAAGCTGTAACTCACAGGTTAAATCAGTGGTTCTCAAACTTTTTTGGTCGTGCCCCCCTTTAAACCTATAAAAAAATCTGGCCGGTTTTATTTCTTTTCTTTTTCTGCTGATGGCCCGCGCCCCCCCCTGCAATACTCGTGCGCCCCCCCTGGCGGGCGCGCCCCACACTTTGAGAACCACTGGGTTAAATCAATATTAATGACCAAACACTCATTACTCATTCTTTAGGGGTAAAATTGTCAGATGGTAATTTATAGTTTCACTATAATCACAGCACCACAGGGAATGAAAACACACTGGACAGCTGGGCTCTGAAATAATACATCTGCATAGAACACTTTAAAGCTGAGGTGTGTAATTCTTTTGATGTTAAAATACTTTTAATAACCTTAACCCAGCTTAATATGTAAAGACAACAAGTAATCCATTTGTAGGTTGATTTCCATTAAAAGTATAAACTGTGTGGCGCTATCAAAACATCTCAAACAGGCAACGCTGGCTTAGCCAGTGGCCTGAGTTTAGGACCGGACTGTCTCTTTTTCCAACCAGTTTCAGATGGGGAAACCTGATTAAAAAGTTATTTTTGCTATTTTGTTTGATGATGCAGAAATTACACACTTCAGGTTTATAGAGTGAGGAAACAGGCAACAATAGGGTGACTAAATGTGAATTTGGGAAGTCATTATATTAAAGAGAATTTAATTAGATTAAAGAAGATTGTGTATTTATACGTGTTGCTGCACAATCATAGCACAAACCAAAGAAGTTAATGTCTGTCTCATTGGGTTTTCTTTTTACAAATCCTTTTCTAACCTCCTTAACCAAATATGATGTGACTTTAAAATAAAAATCAAGGTGGTGATTCTGACACACTGAATTCTCAGTCTTAACATAATCCCCATTAGCTCTCTTCTCATGCTTTCCCCCCCAGTACTTCTCGTTTCACTCTCTTGCTGTTTTCTTCCTCATAGATCAACTAAGAAACAGTTACCAGGTGGGCTATGATAACTCTATGAGGGTCATCTATGCCAATGGAATGGATTCTCACTTCCAGACTGAGCCTCATATTCTTGCGGGTGCATCCAACCCGACAGTGGCCAGAAGAAACATGACCCTGCCTGGAGAGAATGGACAGAACTTGGTGGAGTGGCGTTTCAGAAAAGAACAGAATAGGGGGAAAGTCGTAGTATTCGGCAGGAAACTCAGGGTATGTAAAAAAATGTCATTTAGAAGACTCTTATTACATGTGTATCATAAAACTCTTTCTGGCTTGACTGATTTGAGTTGTAAATTATGGGTAATTAAAAATTTTATTATTATTTCTACAAACACTGAAATAGAGGCTTCATCTTATGGCGCTTTTCCACTGCGTGGTACGACTCGGCACGGTACGGCTCAGTACGGTACGGCACGGCTCGGTTCGGCTCGGTTTGCGTTTCCACTGCAGTTTAGTACCGCTTTAGAGTGGGCGGGATTATTCACATGTCGTTATAGTTGCGCCGCCTCTACTGCCGCGACTCCTAAAAATACTTTTTCATTCCGCGTCGCCCCATCAAGCTCTAGCTGGATCCGCTCCTCTGCTATCAACGAGAGGAACGTCTGTACTTCCTCAACAGGGGGAACAGCCACTTTTTAGTTGTTAAAAAAAGGTGCGCTCGTTCAAAACAGTTGCGTTCGATCCTTCGCTGGCTGTACTGATTTAAATCTAGCGGTTCTGTTGTGTTTGTGTCGCAAGTTCAGTGACGCTGGTAGTGACAATTCTCTCCGGCCAATCCGTGATCAGCAGAGTTTACACGTCACGTTTTGGTAACGGTACGGTACGCTTGGAACCCCAACCGAGGTGGTACTAAAAAAAGTACCAGGTACCAGGTACTGTACCCAGTGGAAAACCCCCCAAAAGTGAACCGTACCGAGCCGTACCGTGCCGTACCATGCAGTGGAAAAGCGCCATTAGATCTTAACTGGCATAACCCACATTGCTATCTGAACTAAAAATAATTATGTTGTTACGCAAACCACAGACACATAATAGAAAAAGGCTGAAGAAAAGGATTGTGTGTCTAGTCATCAGCTTCTGTCAATGAACCAGACTATATCTTTTCTAAATTCTCTTTTTTTTCTCCATTTCATTTTGTTATGAAGAACAGCTGAATTGTTGTTCGCTGTTGTTCTCCCTCCTCTTTTATTTGTTCCACAAAAGCAGCAGGTCATCTCAGAGCATCAATAAAGTAACCCTGATTGTTATATGGGAAACTGCTTTGGCCTCTGAGTTGTAAAAAATAGGATTTAATTTAATGCTCTAGAGATATACAATAAGCAATATATATATATATATATGAGACTAGGAGAAAGATTGAAAAAGTGTTAGTGACCAGTTTGCCTGCAATTTCTATTCAGTCCTCAAATGTAACTGAAGTTGGGGAAATCAATTCTACCAAAAAATACTATACATGTTGCTAGCAATGAATGTTATATTCAATATAAATATTCTGTTTTCCAATCATAAAGGTCAACGGTAGAAACCTGCTGTCTGTGGATTATGACCGCTCACTGCGCACAGAGAAAATATATGACGATCATCGAAAGTTCCTTCTGAAGATTGTGTATGATGCCTCTGGTCATCCTACACTGTGGGTGCCCAGCAGTAAGCTGATGTCTGTCAACCTCACCTATTCCGGCACTGGTCAGGTCACAAGCATTCAGAGAGGCCCCACAGTCGAGAGGGTAGAATACGACAGCCAGGGACGCATAGTCTCCAGAACCTTTGCAGACGGCAAAATCTGGAGTTACACCTATTTGGACAAGGTGAGAATTGTGAATTTTTCCAATAGTAGGTAGGCCTGTTATATCAGATGATTTGCTGTGGTGTGTTGAATATGTGTTGCTTTATTGTCAGAAATTTCCATGGGATATTTTTGCAGGGATGTTCAAATAGTCTGAATTCACATATTGTACAGATTTTAATTAATTGACAGTATTTGAAAATTACTAAATTCCTTGTGTCAAACACAGCATTATATGCTACCACAAATTTAGATTAACAAATGTATTGGCCTTTTTGGAGCTTGGCAATATAAATCTTCTATTTTCCTTGTATGGAAGTGCAGTTTAGACATTCTGCCTAATAATTTTGTGTTTCATGTCAGAAACAACATGGGAGTGAGTAATGTCTGGGTGAACTGTTTCTTAAAGTTCAAGGTGTCCACAGTGCTCTACCATAAATGAGATTTACTGATGGTTACTCCCTTTGAATTGGTTCTCCAGAAGTACACCATTATCACTGTCAGCAGTGCAAACGTGAAGCTTGTTGGTCCACAGAAAACTGAAATAAATAGCTATACAAAGACACCTAGTTATCCAGGGGTCAGAAATTTCTGTGGAACTATGAGGGTAAGTTTATAGACTCCAGAAACTGTTGTGTGCCGAGAAACTGGATGTTGTGGATGTTTCTAGCGAGGGAACAGGCTTAGTAAGGTCTCATAGACAAAGTTACAGTCTCAAAATGAGACCACAGGGAAAACTCATGGTTTGAGCTCAGCCTAATGATACCATAAAGAAAGATACAAGGAGTGATATGAAAAGAATAACTTGCACCTCCAACCCTACTTACAGGAGATCACACCTTTTTTCGCTGTTGTATGCTATAGCCTTGTAAATACTAATAATACTTAGGAAATGTTTTGTTTGTGGACATTCAAATATTATGAAATATTAGGTTTTTACAGAGTTTGAGATATCAGTTGGATGAAAAAGTGAGTTTCCTCCAAGAGAGCTCTCAGCTGGAACCACAAAAGTTTTGTGAAAAGAAAAACCACTGTGTGCAAATGTGCAGATTAAATATGCATGGATAGCCTGTCTTTCCGTCGCCTGCCACATGCGCAGGTAGCGTGACCAGTGAGAGGATATCAAACATATGCCACCAGCAGTGCCTAGGGAACTAGAATAATGTCTGTCCAAGTATGGATGACAAGGTGAAGGCTTCTCAAAGGTAGACACTCACTGTAGCAATTCCCCAAGATGGAGAGGCCTCTAAGGATAGTCCTCAAAATCTGCAGACATCAGTCAGTCAGTGAGCTTATTTTACCAGCAAAGACATGAATATACGTGGAGTGATGCGGCAGCACTGAATGCCTCACTCTCAGATCCATTCAGCGAAAGGCTCTGGGGATGTCAGTACTTAAGCCCACAGCGAGAAACACTTATTTATCATCCTTTGCTTCAGCTCACCTCTCACATTGTCCAACAAGACCCAAAACAGATACGGAATAAACATGAGGCCTCAGTCATTCATAACTCAAAGACAACTTGCTGACTTTGTTTACCTCAAGATTCAAGCCTAGAATACAGATGGATTTTAAAAACCCTTCTTTTTATTTGATGCTCCAGTCCCACAATATGCAGAGCACGAAAATTGTTTTCAACCCACCTTATTGAGTTAAGTACGGGCAAATCATGAGGCTAAAGCAGATTAGTAATTGCAGATCATTTTATATTTATGCAGCCATGCACATTCAACAGACCTGCATTTAGAAGCTTGAGGGTCATGAAGAACTCAATTAGGCAAAGAAATAATCACTCTATGGAGCGTTAATACCTGCTTTTACACGCCATTTGCATTTTAATAGCATGTAAGAAAATGCATGAAAGAGTAATGAATTGTTTAGGTTAATTTCTCCTCTCTCCCACCTTTTGATTTACAGTCTATGGTGCTGCTTTTACACAGCCAGCGGCAGTACATCTTTGATTACGATCTGCAGGATCGACTCTCCGCCATCACTATGCCAAGTGTGGCCCGTCACACCATGCAAACTATCCGCTCTGTCGGCTACTACCGCAACATCTACAATCCACCTGAAAGTAATGCTTCAGTTACGGTGGACTACAGTGAGGACGGCCAGCTCTTGCGGGTGGCACACTTGGGCACTGGCCGACGTGTCCTTTATAAGTATCGGAGACAGAACAAGCTGTCCGAGATCCTATATGACAGCACACGGGTCAGCTTCACCTATGATGAGACAGCAGGTGTGCTGAAAACTGTCAACCTACAGAGTGAGGGTTTCATTTGTTCTATCAGATATCGACAGATAGGTCCACTGGTGGACCGGCAGATATTCCGCTTCAGTGAGGACGGCATGGTCAATGCCCGCTTTGACTACACCTATGACAATAGCTTCCGAGTAACCAGCATGCAAGGAGTCATCAACGAGACCCCACTTCCTATAGATCTTTATCAGTTTGACGACATTTCCGGCAAGGTTGAGCAGTTTGGGAAATTCGGCGTCATCTATTACGACATTAACCAGATCATATCAACAGCTGTCATGACCTATACAAAGCACTTTGATGTCCATGGCCGCATCAAGGAGATCCAATACGAGATCTTCCGCTCCCTCATGTACTGGATCACTATCCAGTATGACAACATGGGCCGTGTCACCAAAAGAGAAATAAAGATCGGCCCTTTTGCCAACACTACCAAATATGGCTATGAATATGATGTGGACGGGCAGCTGCAGACAGTCTACCTGAATGAGAAAATGATGTGGCGGTATAATTACGACCTGAACGGCAACCTACACCTGCTGAACCCTGGCAACAGTGCACGACTCACTCCCCTCCGTTATGACTTACGGGACCGCATCACACGACTGGGCGACGTGCAATATCGTATGGACGAAGATGGCTTTCTGCGCCAAAGGGGTACGGAGATCTTTGAGTACAACTCCAAGGGCCTCTTGGTTCGGGTGCATAGTAAAGCCAGTGGCTGGACCATCCAGTACCGCTATGATGGGCTAGGAAGACGCCTGGCCTCTCGCAACAGTCTGGGCCAGCACCTTCAGTTCTTCTATGCGGACCTCAACTACCCAACACGCATCACCCATGTCTACAACCATTCCAGCTCTGAAATCACCTCGCTCTACTATGATCTACAAGGCCATCTGTTTGCCATGGAAATTAGCAGTGGTGAGGAGTTTTACATTGCTTGTGACAACACAGGAACACCACTGGCAGTCTTCAGCAGCAATGGGCTTCTCCTCAAGCAGGTGCAATATACTGCTTATGGAGAGATCTATTTTGACTCTAACCCTGACTTTCACTTGGTTATTGGATTCCATGGTGGCCTATATGACCCTTTAACAAGATTGCTGCACTTTGGAGAGCGGGACTATGACATTCAAGCTGGCCGTTGGACCACCCCAGATATAAGCACCTGGACCAGGGTGGGCAAGGACCCAGCTCCCTTCAACTTGTATATGTTCTGCAATAATAATCCCATCAGCAAGGTGCATGAGGTCAAGGAGTATGTCACAGGTGAGAAGAGGGCCCTTTTGGCATACTGTATTAGTCTTTTGTTTGTACGATTTTAATTAGTTATACTGTTGGGCAAAAAACTGTATTTATCAGACAGCCTGTGAAGATTTTTTTTTTTTTTTTTACAATTTCTGTTCTTTCATTCATAGATGTCAACATCTGGCTGGTGACATTTGGCTTTCACCTGCATAATGTCATCCCAGGATTTCCTATCCCTAAATTTGACCTTACCCAACCATCACTGGAAATGAGGAAGAGTCAACTATGGGACGACCTACCGGTATGCAGTCCAATGTCATCTTCTGTCCTACATAAGTTACTTGGCTGGATCATTTGCTTTAGTAGTTTAAAATAATGCAATGAAAAATAGCACCATTTGATTACTCTGCATATCATGGGATTCATTAAATTCTTAATCATATTCACTGCCTTAGTAACCCGTTTAATTGATTGGTTTCATTCAAGTGAGATTCAGTGTTTACAAATATGTCCAGATAAATAATTAGAGTATGTGTTTTGTCTTTTATGGCTCACTTTAGTCCATCTCAGGGGTCCAGCAGGAGGTTATGAGGCAGGCCAAGGCTTTCCTATCTTTTGAGAGGATGCCAGAGATCCAGTTAAGCCGACGACGTTCAAGCCGTGAAAAACCTTGGCTGTGGTTTGCCACAGTCAAATCCCTCATTGGTAAAGGTGTGATGCTTGCCATTACCAGTAAGGGCCAGGTGGCCACCAATGCACTGAACATAGCAAATGAGGACTGCATTAAAGTGGCCACTGTCCTCAATAATGCCTTCTATTTAGAGGATCTGCACTTCACAGTGGAAGGCCGTGACACGCACTACTTCATAAAGACCAGCCTGCCCGAGAGTGACCTGGGTGCCCTGCGACTCACCAGCGGTCGCAAGAGTCTAGAAAATGGTGTCAACGTAACAGTGTCACAGTCCACCACTGTGGTCAATGGACGGACACGTCGCTTCGCAGATGTGGAGCTGCAATATGGCGCATTGGCTCTACATGTGCGCTATGGCATGACACTGGATGAGGAGAAGGCACGTGTCCTAGAGCAGGCCCGCCAGAGAGCACTGTCAAGTGCATGGGCACGGGAGCAGCAACGTGTACGTGAGGGAGAGGAGGGAGTGCGTCTTTGGACAGAGGGGGAGAAGAGGCAGTTGCTCAGCTCTGGGAAGGTGCTGGGTTATGACGGCTACTATGTACTATCAGTGGAGCAGTACCCTGAACTGGCCGACAGTGCCAACAATATCCAGTTCCTGAGGCAGAGCGAGATTGGGAAGAGGTAACAGTCTGCACAGCACAGACTGTTCATCAGACTACTGCCCCTCTGCTCCACAAGCTCCTCTCTCCCGTGTACACACTCCCAGAGCTCCTATCCCAGAGACTAAAGGGAAAGGGTTTGTTTGAGAAGTGAGGAGTTGTGGCTAAGTGCCACACACACTGCAGTTATACAAAAAAACCTGAGGCACTTCCTCTCATTGACTGAACACACCCCCATCCTACATATTTGTTCACATTATTGCATTGAATGGATAATGGACTCTCTAAGAGAGCTACCCAAGAAAAACTCAGTTATGATTTGTTTTTGTCTTTTTTATGTAAAACTTTAAAGGTGTCTTGGTCAGTGATAAAATGGAGACAAAAAGGCAAATGTGTTTACATGCGCAGACCACTGCACCCAGATGAACTAATATAATGCCTTTTTCGCAAGGCAGTGACTGTAATTCAGTGGTTCGTACTGTCCTTGCTCTCAGCAACATGTTTTGTCAACTAGTGAGGACTGGGGTTTCAGACTGTGAGCTAGTTGATCATTTCTCTTCTGCTTTGATTTCTTAAGGGACACAGTTGTGGTTCATATAATCAAATCTGAGTGTACTCATTCCTGGTCACTCTCTCATTCCTGAACCAACCCAGGTGGTGAATAGAGCGGAAACTGACAGAACAAAATATATAAATATACATCTCATAACTGACCGGTACTTTGACAAGAGATGTTAGAATATCTTTATGGATTTTTTTTTTAAGTAAAAAAATTTCACCTATCCGTACAACAATATTAGTCGCAGAGAAAGTAATTTATGTACAGTGTTTATACATAAAAATAAAATCTTACAAATATTGAGACTTTTTCGTCTTGTCATGCATTACTGTTTATACTCATGAATTTTAATATTTTATCTTATCAAAATTTGTGGTAATGCTAATTGAAATAAAATCAGCTGTACTGTGTCACTGAATCTTCAACACTGTTTTTCTTCTCTTTCCATCCTCTGAAACTGATTGTTGCCTTTTTTTTAATTTCTATTTCTCTCTTTTTCAGATTGTCTAAATGCATTCAGTGGTTTCATGGCGTTACTGCTGCTGTAATCAACAATAGGTATAGAGCAGCTGTTTTTCAGTTGTGAAATGAGGAAATACTACAATCAAATACTAAAAACCCAACAAGTGTTTAGTAATTTGCCAGAAATTATTCCTTTACAGTAAAGTCATGGCATTGTTCTGTCTTTAATTGGAATGAGTTGCATTAAAGCTTTTAAAGACTTTCTGTCCCGATATACAAGTTCAAGCTTTAGCCTCGCTTTCTATCCAGAAACAAGATTATTTCAAAAACTTTCCGCTCTTTTTAATGTTTTAGATGAAGGATATATCACACTAGCATTAATATGTGTTGTCACTGGCAGCATGGGGTGGGGGGGATTTGCAAGGAGTTTATATCCCTCCATTTTAACCATGATTAAAACTCCTTTGACAAGAAGAAACACTCAAACTCTCTTGAATCAAAAGGGTCATTAGACAGCAGAGATAGTGTGGCTTTTTCCACTGATGCCAGAAATAAAACTTGTTTTGCATGGGCTTAAATTTATGTAACTGAAATAACAAGTGCTAAAGCAGAAATTTAGAAATGTACTGAGCACTAAATAAGAACTGAACAGTTACCTTAAAAGAGAATTCCACCATCACCCACATGAAAGAGATTGATTTAGGATTTATTTTACTTTAAAATATTTGACAACAAATGTATTCATCTAAGAGCACCACAAACATTAAAGTGATCAGAAGTCACCCCAAAAGGACAAAAAATTAATTGGTATGCCTAAATGGACTGCCTCCTTCTTCAGATGCTGTTTTTGTATAGGCTTTTTAAAGATTGTATAAAATAAAATGTTCTGACTAATGAATGAGAAAATATTGTTTCCATTTTAGTTTGTTGTTTTCCTATGAAAAGTTTTTAAATCAATCATGTAATTGTATGGTGGAGCCTATTTTTCTATTCATGAGTGAATGGAGGTCTGAAGGGGATGTTACCCACCTGTGGGTCTGTGAGGTTTTTTTGTTTGGGATTCTCAGTAACTGATTGTTCGAAGAGGGTCTGAGCTTGTTGTTAGGGTGAACTTTTCCTCCTGAAAAGATAAAAAAAAGGTGAGCACTTAATTAAAACACTAGTAATAACCAGAACAAGAACCACTGCAATATTAACAAAGTGTTGCCCTCAAAGGTCTACACAGATTATCTGCGATACAGTCATTTGTTTGAGTAAGGAGTGACCACTGTACTCAGGAGCCCTTCAATCAGTGTGTATGAACAAATTTCAATCTTCAACATTTGTTGGTCAACATTGTCAAAATATTCTTATAAAAAGCCAGAACTTGCTTAACAGAAGTAGATTTGGGGGAAACGTGTGACAGAGTAGCAGTGAAGATACAAATGTCTGTGAGAGGAGAAGGGAGAACAGAAAACGACCTGATATGTTTGCTATTGATTGCATGCATACAGTATCAACCCAATGAATCAAAGGAAGCTCACTTTTTTCCTTATTAGTGCCAATATGTACATGGTCTGTTTTGATATTCCTTTGCACTACAATGTATATGTTGAAGATGATGCCTCTACATTATACATTATTGCAGTCGTCACGTCTCTGGTCTGATGTGAGGGAGATTGTAAAAACTGGTTATTTTTCCTAAATTAAAAGGAAAGATGCCTGTACAGAAAATCATGAGTATTTAATTAAATACTTTCAAATAAATGCCATTATCATCACACAGTTTACAGTCACTTAACAGTAACGCTTTCTCATATCAGATCTGATGTGGGATTTGTGACTGAATTTGTCTGAGAACTGAACATTTAAAAATGCTATGTGTGATTAGCTTTGTTGCTACTGCGACAAATCGACCATTGTTTTTTTGCTCAATTACTTTGTCTTTTGAACAGGCTACATTTTGTGTATTTTGTATGATCTGTTTTACAAATTTGTTTCAAACAATTACTACGAACTGAAGTGATTTTACCTGTAAATTCAATAACTTATCTTGCAATGTAATGAGGATTTAGAGAATGTTGTATTACTGATGTTCTTACGTTATTTGTTTTTGCTCAGTTTTGCTTTTGTAATGTTTTATAGCCACGCAGCATCTCAGAAAAAAAAAAAAATCTCATGATTTCCATTTGATAGACACGTCTGTTTAGAGTGCAATTAAAGTGCAATTTTGATGTAATCTAAACTAGGTCACTGCTGGATTCATTACCTTTTATCTTCAACATGTTAATTGCTCCACAGAGATCAATCATAAAAATAAAATGTAATATTCAAAAAATTGTGTATTTATTAGTCCATTACACAAATGTGACCACATATCTTACTCATTAAGCGAGTCAGGAAAGCAATAGAGCAGTGGTTCTCAAACTGTGGGATGTAGTGCGACCCAGGAAATGTACACTACTAAAAAATAATAAAAATTTACTTTAGATATAATGTTACTACTGTGGCACTTTTTCACAGGAATTTTCACAGATCTGCAAAGGGCTAATAAAGAAACGAAAGGGGCAGGGATATTGATATTAATGAAAATGTGCCGTTATGGTTGTTACAATCCCTAATTCTGTCATTCACCCACTCTTGTTATTCCAAACCTTTATGATATTTTTCTGCGAAATACAAGGTAATGACAAACTACACTGAATGCATACAGGTTTGGAACGACAAAAAAAAAACAATGGTACTTGGCCTGAAATGTTTGAGAATCACTAAAACACAAAAAAAAGCTGTTTTCTTTTCTAATTACATTCCTGTAGCTCAAACGTTAGAGTATGGTGCTATAGCAACGACAATGGCATGGGTTCGACATCGTATGCTTTGAAATGCAATGTAAGTCGCTTAGATAAAAGTGTCTGCCAAATGCATAAATGTAATTTAATTGAATATCAGGTCAATATCCACAACAGAACAGATAAAACGGAAATTAAAAATGATCATCACAAAACAAAGCTTGTCAGGATAATAAATATGAAATTATTTCTTACATGGAGAGCATGTATGTGAAACAGTTCGGAAATCACTAATTTCACGGTTTTGTGATTCTGTATAATTTATCAATTATCCATATGTTTTAGAACTGATGGGGAGAAAAGTGTCTCAGATTTGATACGGCACACTCTAATTATACATGTTTCATATATAGCTCTACTGAAAGCAGCCTAGAAACTGAGGGCCAAAGATTAATGAATAAGTCTGATCCTCTACTACAGCCAATCACATATACCTGACAACCAAACTTCAGCCATCCACACTCTAACAAGCCTTGTCCCTCATTTCTCTACTGAATCAGTAAAACACCGCCCTACAGTCAGACTTCATGTTTATGAAGCAGTGAGCCTAAAGGGTTTGGGCCAGAAGACGGCCTCTGATTTCATGGGCAATGGCCCATTCTTACTGCAGAGAAATAGCTTTGCTGCCCCTTTGTTGTTTTGAGAGCACCGAGCAAGATGTGCTCCCATAACAGTGTTTGAGGCTCACAGTAGCATGGTGCTCTCAATCAGAGTGGGACGCCATCCAAAAGGCCCCACATCTCAAATGTGGTCATGTTTCCAGCAGCTGCAGCTGCCGAACAGAAGACACAAAGCACACTTTTGGGATATGGGAAGGCTTGTGGAAAAAAAAACTGACTGGTTGTAATGGGTTTTCCAGTCACTTCTGCTTCATGTCTTTGAGGCCAAGCACATCTCTTTTGTTTGCCATTTATGAGAAGGTCTGAAGTGCTGATCAAGGCCACGTGGTGAGATGTGAACAGGTGCAGTGTGTCTGTGTGCTCTCATTACATTATAACTTCAGAGCAGTTCTAACTAAACATCCAGCTCAGGCAATTCCTTGAGTGTGTGACAGACAAATTATATACAACAGGCTTATGACAGCTGATTTATTTTATGATACAAATCAAACAGATTAAGTGGGCTCTGCACACACATTCTGTGTTGTGTAGGGTCGTAATAATAAAATAAAATAAAAACGCTTACTGATATTAGTAGGGGACACAATTTCTGACAACATTAGATATCAAAAGTAAATATAGCCACAAGCAGCAATGACAGACCCAAGCACCTCTGCTACTGCCACCCGATGGCTTTGAGAAAACAGTGTAGGGATTTTTTTTTACAATTGATACAACCCATTTCTCAATACTAAGGTCACGTTTTCCAAACTTTTCACAGAGTGAGCACAACAGAAGTCTATGTGGGCTAAACTTCGAATCATTTTCCATTACTACAAATTACATTACATGAATTCTTGATGTGATTTTTTAAAGTGTTTTAATAGTTCTAGTGCATTTTGGATGTGAAATTTACTGCCGTGCGAAGCTGAAAGTTGGTAAGGAGCACTGTGAAAAAATTAGCATATCATGAAAAAGGTCAATATTTTCTGTCACTCATTTCAGAAAGTGAAACCCATATATTACATAGATTACTCAACTTTCTATGAATATGCTTGGATACAGCACTCTGTGAACAACCAGCTTCTTTAGCAATGAACTTTTGTGGCTTACCCTCCTTGTGGAGGGTGTCAATGACTGTCTTCTGGACATCTGTCAAGTCAGCAGTCTTCCCCATGATTGTGTAGCCTACTGACCCAGACTGAGAGACCATTTAAAGGCTCAGGAAACCTTTGCAGGTGTTTTGAGGTAATTAGCTGATTAGGGTGTGACACCATGACTTTCCAATATTGAACTTTTTCACAATATTCTAATTTTCTGAGACACTGAATTTTGGGTTTTCATTATCTGTAAGCCATAATCATCAAAATTTCAAGAAATAAAGGCTTAAAATATTTCACTCTATGTGTAATGAAT